CCAAATCCACCCGGAATTAGCCCTGCACTTTAAGACCCATTTTGAATTAGGGGGGAGGGGTTAGGGTTAAAGGTTCAGCAGTACTACAATCCAGCACAATCCTGCCTAATAGGAAGTAAAGAGCAGTAAAGGGAAGGGCAGGGAGGCCACGAGTAGGATCAGTGAGATTGATGGTCTTCTTACTTTCGCAAAAGCAAAGCGATACCTCACAGAAACATGTGACGAAATCCTTGTAAAGCGATAGGACCCCCAAATCATCCATGGTCAAGCAAAGGACAAGAAGTTTTGACAAGCGCTCGTATGTCACACCGACACAAAGACGCACAGTGCATGTTGGCGTGTGTCTCCAGTACTTGATCTTACTGTATCAGTCTATAGTCGATAAGTCTATATATATATATATACATAGCTCGATTGTATAGTAGTCTTCTGAGTCCCAACGCTTAGCTTAGAGTGTCTCCCGACACACTCCGCCGAACCAAGCCGAGCCAATCAAAGCCAAACCAAGCCATCGAAAATGAGAACTCTTCGCACGCTATCTCCAACAAAAGCCTTTCCCATCCGAAAACCAGGTCTGACAGGAAATGCCACACGATGTACCGCCGGGACAACAAAGAACTGGCAAGACAACTCTACCTCTCACCACTGCATGTAACACACACACACGTTCACATTTATCTATGTCTATCTGTATTTGCCAGGACCGTACTTGGAACCATCCGCTGCGCAGTGTTCGGCTGCAACTGCGACGACTGACTTGCCGAAGAGAAAATTTGGCAGGGTGCAACAGTTTTGAAAGGTAACGGGTCAGAAGGAAGACATGCCAGCTTCCATGTTCGTTCCGTCTAAGTACAAGCTGCAAATTGGAGGTTGGAACTTCCCGTATGCGGACTGGAGAGGTTGAGCGCGGTTCTGCCTGGTCTGGGAAGTTGAGATCTCTATGTATACGGTATGTATAGTGTAGCTGACGTACATGTACAGTTCTGTTTCATGATACAGGTGATGAGTATATGTGGATAATATCTGCACGCTTGTTTACTCATTGCTTGTTCACTCTCACCTTTCTGCATGAAATACAGCTCTCCTTGCTCTTAATCTGGTCTCGTTTCACTTGCCATACTGATGAAGGCAATTATCGCGGCTTTCAAGCGATTCGTCTCGCGCGAGGCATGCTGATGCGGCGAGTCTGCAAGGGGTCTTCAGGGGTTCCGCCGAGGTCCAGGAAATTAGACAGCACGAAGAGCACCGAGATGCCGGTGTCGCTGTGGTTGTGGCCGCAACCGAGTCTGATGATGTTTGCGATGAGTCTGGATGCCTTCAAAGGCATAGCAGTAGCATCTCCCCAACCGTTTGGCCCAGTCAAAAGATCGAACTGACCACCTCTGAAGAATCTCAGAGCAGGCTGCAGTGCTCTGAGCCGTCATCGAGTGCTGCGGAATGCCTTGGGCAGCTCAGCTCAACATATATGGTTGCTGTTTGCCTCGTGGCATGCTCTGTCGTGCAAGCACGACTGACACGCAATAATTACCTTATTCATCGCGCGCCTGCTGAGTCCTTGCAGTTGACATGCGGGGTGAATTACTCTGTCAACCCGGTAAATGCTTGTGAACCTACGCTGTTGCTTGTGCGGCCACTTTAGGATAGTGATCTCAACTCGAAAGCGTAGGTTCTGAGAAGGTTTTCAAATTGAAGCAAATGGAAATGTGGCGAGAATCACGTCCCTCAGCAACTCACCGCATCCGCAGAGTGTTTAGGATGTGACACGAGCTGCAAAGTTGGTTTTGTTACTGAAGACCAGTTTACAGTAGCGTCTACGGCGGATTCACGAGCATGCAGCGCTTCAAGCGTGGCCCAGTCTATACTGTCCATCTCAATGCCTCACGACAGTTCCAGTATTTCTATAGATATGCATGCTTGGATGTATGCATGCATGTGTGTATGTGTGTCAGTACGTCGGTCTGTATGTATGCATGCATGTACGTGCGTACTTAGATATGTGTATGTATGAGTGTATGTATGTATGTATGTATGTATGTTTGTATGCACA